ATCTGCAAAGAATATCAACAAGATTATGAGATTATTTCTATAATGTCATGAAATGAAATACTAAACATTCATTATGATTTGATATGAGGAGGAGTAGAAAAGCTCGAAGAAAATTAGTATAAGTTACAAGTTCATGAAATAATCAAAGAATTTTTGAATCTAGTAGTCAAAGATCTTTCAGAATTAGAAAAGACAAACCTTTATTAGTATAAAATAGATACTGGTGAAGTAAAACCAATCAAATTAAACTCCTATAGAATCTCATTTCGATATTTAAAATTTTTGAATAAAGAAATAACAAATATATTAAGGAACAGATTAATTTGAAAGTCGTTCAGTCTTTGGTTTACACTTATAGTCATAGTAAACAAGAAGAATGGAAAATATAGATTCTATATAAATTACAGAAAATTAAATGCATTTACAAAATCTGATACTTATCTAGTATCACGAATAGCAAATATGCTAGATACTCTGGAACAATCTGTCTTCTTTTCAACTTTAGACTTGCTTCAAGTTTCTGGCAAGTAGAAATATCTGCTAAAGACTGAGAGAAAACAACTTTCACTTCTTTATTTGGTACTTATGAGTTCTTTATAATACCTTTCAGACTTATTAATGTCCCTGTAACCTTTTAGTGAGTAATGGATAAAGTCTTCCATAAAGTTATTTGGAAGTTCATATTAGTATATATTGATGATACTATTATATATTCAAAATTTACGAAAAACATCTGGAACATTTAAGAAATGTATTTACACTTCTGAAAAATACTAAATTAAAAATAAACTTGAAAAAGTGCAACTTTTTCAAAACAAAGTTACTATTTTTGGAACATATTATAACAATCGATAGAATAGCTCCAGACCCTTCAAAGATTGAGAAGGTGCAACATTATTCAGTTTCACTAAACAAGACAAATGTGTGAACCTTCTTGAGATTAGTCTCATATTATCAAAGATTTGTGAAAAACTTTATCACAATTGCGAAACCATTACACAACCTTATGAAGTGAAGTGTTATATTTGAATGGAAGCCTAAATATCAACTCGCATTTGACTCATTGAAAGGACGGCTAACTTTGATTCCGATAATGACTTACCTTAACTTTTTGAAACGATTTATATCAGTTATTGATGTATCTGACTGGGGAATTGGAGCTGTGCTCTTCCAGAAGGATACGGAAAATCTTGAACACCCTATCACTTATGCCAGTTGTCTTCTGTTATCCTCTGAACTGAATTACACAGTGCTTGAAAAAGAGTGCCTTGCTACAATATGGGTTGTACGACATTTTAAACATTATTTATATAGTCCTAAGTTTAATTTATATATGAATAACTCTGCTTTAGCATGGTTAAAGAATCACCTACTACCTAAGGGAAGAGTTGCTAGATGGACTTTTGAATTATCTGAGTATGATTATGAACTTATTCATAAGTAAAGAAAACTTAATACCAATGTTGATGCACTATCTGGAATAACTAATTAAGACAACAAATATAATAGAACTTAGATATTTATTAAAGATACAAAAATTATGAAACTTTTTGAAAATAAATATAGACACTTAAGATCAATTAATGGAATATTTAATAAATCATGTTTTTCTATCAAATAGTACTAATGAACAATAACAAAAGATACAACAACAAGTAAATTATTATATAGTTCAAAATAACATTCTATATAAGTGAAGCAAAGAGGGTGATTTTCTAAAGTTAATTACAAGAGAGAATTTAATAAAGATATTATACAATATGCAAAATGTACCAAATATCGGACATTTTAGTATAAAGACTACTATAAATAAAATGAGACAACAATATTTTTGGCCTACTATGGGTAAAGATATTTGAAATTATATAGAGACATGTAATATATGTCAAAGACAAGGCAAACTTAAACAAACTGAAATATTATGACCTATTGAAGTAGAACAAGCTTTTGACCAATTAGAGATGTTTATTGTAGGTCCCCTGAAACCAACAACAATGGAAAAAAATATATAGTGGTAACTATAGATTATTTTACAAAGTAGCTAAAGACTAGAGCCATTGAAAAAGTAGATGTGAAAACTATCACTTGGTTCCTATATGATGAAATTATATGAGGTATAGTTGTCTAAGAGAAATACTATCTGATAGAGGAGCAGTATTTGTTAGTCAAATAGTAACCATCTAATAGAGATAATGGAAATATATCGCAAGCTTATGTCTGCTTACCATTTTCAAAGTAATGGACTAACAGAAAAGTATAATCAAACACTCTGTCAAACTTTAAAGAAATGTGTAAAGGAAACAACAGAAGAATAGGATAAACTAATAGCTTTAGCACTTTTTGCATACTGAACTATTAAGAATAGAATAACAAAATATGAGTTATTTTATTTATTATATGGACAAGCCCCTATACTACCCATAGAACTTGATATCATTACTTGGCCAATTGAAGAGATTGATGAAAAACAATTTAAAGAAATGATCCACAAAAGAACTGGTAAAGTTACAGGAATATTCAAAGATAACTGGATTAGGATATTTAAGAAGATTAAGGATGTACAAAAATGACAAAAGATAACTCATAATAGGAGAATCTGAATGATAACATATAAGATTGGAGATTTGGTATTGGAGTACAGATCTGATTTACTGAATGTTCATGGTGATAAGTTTTGTGACAAATGGTCTGATCCTTTCTTTATTTATAGAATTCTTGGAAATGACTCTTATATATTAAAAACCAATAGCAGAGAAGTTCTCAATAGTTGACCTATATATGGCAATCAATTAAAATCTTATAAACAAAGGGGTTATCATCCTATGTGAGATAACGATATACATTAAAGCTTGTTTAAAAGAATTCATAAGATTGCGAAAAATCTTGAAAATTTCCATCAAAATTTTTTTTTTTACTATAAATAATATTCTAATAACAAAGTCAGATAAAAAAATAGCTAAAGGAAAAGTTCTTGAAATATATCAGATCACAATGAAGAAACTCTATAAATTATAGTTAAAAAGAAATAACTAAACTCTAGAAACAAATGAGCAAAAATAAAAAAAAAAAACTTGAGAAATTTTCAAATATAAAAACAAAAAATAAAAAAAAAACAAAGAAATCTATAAAAAACAAAAAAAAAACAAATAGAAAAATCCAAAGATCATATTTTAAATATAACAATAGATCACACATTACAGATAGATATTTTAATTTACAAGTTTATTTTCAATTTATTAAGAATAGATATTAGTAAGACTGTAGTAGTTGATACTTACTAATTGTAAAATCTAATTTTACACAACATTAGGTTGAGTGGTATCATTAGATTAGCTAATGTAATTTTATCATATTCTTTGTAATACTTATAGGAAACTGTAATAGATCACACTGGTCTGCTAAAATAAATAAATAAATAAATTTATTCACATCTATTTAAAGTCCAAATTTTTACTGCAAACTGTGAAATTCCGTTGTAACAAATGTTGTAGATATTATTCTTGGCTACAATTTTATATAAGATAGTTGATATCTATCTTTAAAATCCATCAATTCCGGTTTAGGTAACATTCAAAGATTTAATTTTTATTTTTTTCAATTTTATTTAAAGCATAATTTTTCCTTGTGTAGACATTCTATTTTAACACAAAATATATCACATGATAGTCCTGGTTTAGGGAAGTGTAATAAAAAAGTTAGTGCAATTTAGATTATCCATTGTGTTACAATTAGCATTTTAATTTTAGTGATTTTTTTATTAATTTTTTTTGCCCATAACTTTTGATACCCACTGTACACATTTTAAAGAGTAAGAATAACTTAATTCAGATTTATTTACAAGGTCACTAGAGACTATTAAAAGTAAAACATTATGGTTCAACTTTTCTTTCAAATTTTTAGAAATATTTTGATGTGTAATTATAAGTTTGGATCTAGTACTATAGAATGAGTATCAATAAAATTAATATCTTTGTCATATATATAAAATTCATTGTTAGTAATTTCAATTTGCCCATCCATGAAACCAATAATTCTTGAAAACAAAATAGTATTTTTTAAATGTGCAAGGTGTGAATCTAATAATGAAAAAACAGCTTTTACAATAAAATCACAGTCTTGATCAATATAGTCAGTTACCAATATCTTGATGACAGTATTATTTTTAATTTCACTTGGTATCTCTTGGAGAATTCTGATCAAAGAAATTTTTAAAGAACATCTGTTTAATTTAGAAGTTTTAAGAATCATTATATAAGTAAATGTCAAAACTGTCATCTAAAAAATTCTCATTTTAAATCTATTACTATATTATAATATGTTTTCTTTTTCCTTCATATTGTCCTGGTACAATCTTGTCTCCAACAGAAAAAAATTATCTCTCTTGAAAATAGTCTGGATCTCAAGTTTTTTTTTTGAATCATTGGGCACAAATAGAACCAATTCATTATTGTAATTTTCACCTTTGACAGGATACATACTAATGGTCCATACTATCAACAAATCCTCTTTTTCTTCTTCTTTTTCTTTCATATATTGTTTTGTATATTTAATTTTCATGATTGTGTCTGCATAGCAAGGCATTATTCTTTATTCTTTACAAAATTTTAAAATCAATGATACAACAATAATGTGTGATTATTTTATTTTATATGCATTACTCAATCATAAACAGAAATATTATAACATTAAAGAAACTCACCTTTGACAATATTTACATTGTAAAAAATTTCCATTGACAGATTGTGACTACCTCCTTCAATTATTTTTCTCTTCCTACTAAGCTAAAAAGGAAATTAGATTTTTAGCAATTCAGCTCTACTTATATTTGTCATATAAAAAATTCCCATCAACAAATTGTGACTACCTTCTTCAATTTTTTTTCCAATCTAGGAGAATTGATTATGCCAAAGATTAGCTTCACTCGCCATGGCTACTTTCAAGTTATTACCTAAATATTTATCAAAAAGAAGTTAATACAATCTGAAAATACTACACCAAAAATGATCTGTACATTTCATTATTCCATTTCTGTTTCTCATGAATCCCTTAATCTAGGAAGATTTCATTATGTTAAGGACTACTTTTTGCTTTCCAAAATTACTCTCAGGTTTTCTTGTCAAGAAGTAGTACTAAGAGTTGCAAGAAGTTAGTGAAAAAGTGCAAAAGATCTGTGCAAAGATTCATATTTCATCTTATTACACTATGCCAATTCACACACATATTATGTGTGAAAAAATGCATTGTGAAAAATATGCAGGACATGACAAATATGATCATGTTGATCAATCAGATTCAAGATTTGTAGCTGAATGACATTTCTCCCATCTATAGTCCATACACTTCGTGATTTCATCACTCCATTCCTGGTATTAACATTTCAAACTTAGTTATTTTTTTATTAATCTCTAGTTGCCCAGTGACTTTTGATACCTCACTGTATATTGGACTATGTTTCTATTTCAAAATTTACTTTTAGCAAATTACCTAAATTATTAATGAAAAAAATAATTTAATTATTAAATTAATAAAAAAGAATTAAATATTCTTGATAATCTCACTTAGGTCTGTTGGTTTTTTAGTATTTTTATTACTGAATTGATATATCCAATTAATTGTCAGCTATAATTTGTGGTTTTTCTTTATTTAAAAGACTTTTAATAACCTTTTTATTATCTAAAAATTTTATATTTCTTTTCTTTCAACAATCTTGACAATTAGATTGAGTATCTCACTCATTCTTTTGTTCTTTCCCTTTCAAATTTAATTATCATTGGTGCCAATTTAAGTCTTCTCCCTGTTCCATCTAAGTTCACTTACAATATGTCTAGTTACTACACCTAATCTTTTTAGTCTGTTTTTAATTTTGAAAAGATATTGTTTTCATTGAATTCATGATTTCTATCATTTATATTTCATATTATTTAATTAATCATCATTATTTGTTATTTTGTTGTTTCTTCCTTTTCCATGATCATTCTTTTTAAAAGCATCTGAGTAACCCATTTCCAAGTCTACCTGATGAAATATTTTGTAAAAGTCCCCAGCTATCAATATTAATATTTTATTAGGAATTTTTAATGTTTTTTTTATCTTGATTTGATTAATGAATTCTTTATTATTTCGTTAATTTTCATCATAACTATTATGATCTGTATTTTTTGATATCCTTAGACATTTGATTTTTCAAATTTGAATGAAATACATGAATCATTTACTTTTAATGAATTACTTCAATCGATCACTTTCCCCTTGAAAATCATTTTACTTATCCCATTTAATAAAAGAAATTTCGCCATTTCAAAATCAGGAAGGGTATCACACTATATAAAAAACAACAAAATTCATGTATTTTCATTAATAAAATGTTGGAACATTACTTCTTTTTTACATTTTATTGTAAATTATAAAATAAAACATATAAAATTCGAATAAAAATATTTAAAATAAGACTTAAAACATAAAATTAGAAATTAAATGAAGAATTAATTGACCCTTATTCGCTTTCCTACAACTTGCTCCTCCTTCTCATCACCATTATCTCGAGATCTTTCCCTCTTTCTTCCTTTACCCACGTCACACAAGTACTTCTCCAAATCTCCCTTCTCCTTTCTAATATTTTTAAAATAAATAATAAATATCTGTTAAAACGTGTAAAAACTGAACAAAAAGTTGATGGAAATAGCACTTACTCAATTACACAATTAATTTCGTCCAAATCATCTTTAGCAGCTCTCTTTCTTTTCTTTTCTTCTTCCTTTACCAACCTCCTTAACATCTCCTTCGCTTTTGACTTCATAAAAATAATGTTAGTAAGAAATTATTCATTCTTTCATAGAAAATATATCTACAATTTGTTAGACTTATACTTACTACAGATTTTACCACTCTCTTTCCTTGTGCCTTTTGAGAATATTATATAATTGTAAAAATAAATATGTTAATAATTTTGTTTGGAGATAAAACAAGACAAGACAAGTAATATGTAAACTTACTCTCAAAATATTATTCAAGTCATTAAGTTTCATATGTTTAATTGTTTCAGAATTCCATTCAATAAAAATGGTTTCTTTAAAATTTTGAGATTCCATGGCTAAATTTTTAATAGTTCGAAATTAAAAAATTCAAATGTTTGTTTAACTTTATTAATTTGATCGGCCAATCAAATAGCAGAAAAAATCTTTTTTGCAGTCATCATGATTGCATAATGATTATGTAGTTGCTAAAATTTAAGAAAGTATTATTCACGTGAATTTTAAGAAATGATTGGTAACTTATATATTTCCAATAAATAGTTTTTATTTATGATTTATTTGAATAAACCAATGCATTCCTTTTTGATTAGCTAAAATAACCAAAAATATGGCTTCCTATTAGGTAAAAAAAGAGATGAATAAAAACATAGGATTCTGAAATAATCTATTAACAATGTGAATCAAATCTTTTAAATTCGTTATATAACCCGTGACACAAATCACACATAATCTAGAAAAAAACTCGGATCCGATATTTATATACTTTTCTTTACTAATGCTTTTGCTAATCACGAGGTGGTACAATAAAATTGGGTAAGAAGTATTGACCAATCATTTATTTATTTTATCTGTGCACATTAATGAATATTCCTGACGCAATAATATACGAGCATTTTGATCATTTAAAAAACAATCTTTTAAATAAAAAAACCTTTTTGTAAATTTTATATAAATATTTTTTAATTGTCATAAAAATAAGAAATTTTTAAAAAATTAATAAAAATAAATATTATAATTGAGTTGTTAATGGTAAATTGATTAAATATAGATATCATTATGTATTTACTAATCAATTCGATTCTAATTACACAATCACGATGATTTAAATTATTGGAATTAATTATCCCTGAATTTTAATCACTTTAATTCATTTGTTACCAGTGACCATTGAGCACAGTAGATGTTTTATAATCATCCAATAATTTTTGTGTAATGTGATCGTAGATCCAATAACACGACTCTTTTTGGTTGAATAAATTCAATTGTAGCACAAATATAAACTCTAAATTTTATTTAATTTTAAATAATAATGCCACCACACCAAATAATATTTTGAATGATACTTTAGTGTGGGTAATATTACGAATTGCTAGAGTGTTGATGATTTTATAATAATATATACATTAAACCTCTATATATCTTATTTCAGATTATATAACAGAAAAGCTCGAACCTGCTGAAATGACAAAACGCTATATTAGCAATTAGTGTTTTTAGTATTTATAAAAATAGTGGTTCTTATTATTAAAGATCTAAATTTTATTTAATTTAAATATACTTTAAATGATACTTTAGTGAGGGTGAGTGTAATATTACATTTTATAAAAAAAATGGACCTTTTTTTTATTTTTTAATAAATATATTTATATATAAACATTTCATAGTACTTCAGGACATACTACAAAAGATAAATTATACATTAAAAAATATATATATATATAATAAATTCATGATAAAGTAAGATAGTAAAATCAAAATGATATACTTGAGTTTGATATATTATTCCTTTATTTGGTTACTGTGGATATGGTTTCTTCGTGTATAGCTTCTTTGTTAAGGGTTCTAATGCACGGGATTGTGTTCCTCTCTTCTCTGCTGATGAGAAATTTTCTTCAATTAGGATATGAATTTTAAATATGTGATAAAGTTAACCTTTTAAGGTGAAATAAGGTAGAATAAAGTGAGTTTAAAATATTATAGAAAAGTTGTAAGCGTATAATAGAAAACTGGATCACATCGCGTCAAATGAACGTGTCAAATACAGTGTCATGGTTGCATGTCAATCGATTTTATCAAATTGGATAATTTATTTCAAAGTTGTTAGAGATAAATGATTGGGAATAAGAATTTTATTATTATATTTATAATAAGACTTAATAATTATAAAAATTTTATTTGTTATTTCAAAAATAGTAAATTTCAGTTTTATTACATAAAATATAGTAATATTATTTTTATCCTTATTATTTTATGCATTTACATCGCTCGTATCTTATAATTTTAATTATGTATATATCTTCTTGCCTTGCTTTCGCGCACGAACATATCTATAACGACTATAATTTGTATCACCATCCCATATGACTACATATATAGTAGATGGTGACAAATGACAGTGAAAAATTTATAATAATAACCAAAAATTTAAAATTGGCACATCACAATGGTACCCAGTATAATCATGTGTAGATTTATGCCAATAGCCTGTAGAAATGTATTAATTATTTCTATACCTATCAACAGTGACTTCTGTTTATCTATTTGTATGCACCATTTTATTATTATAGATTATCCGTTTAATAATTCGATTTTTTATTTAATTTTTTTTTAATAAAATATTTGGTAACAAATAAAAAAAATGAATAAATAATTTAGCACAAATATTATTATCATCATTTATTTTTTCCTAGGTTCAAAGAAAGTGAATCCATCTTTTATTTTTCCCAGGTTCAAATCAAAGTGTATAATTTAGCTATTAATTTTTAATGTTTGAATTAAAACGAATGCTATATTTTTAAAAATTTTACTTGTTATTTGAATAATTTTTCTATTTGAGAATTATTCTTGTCCCTCACTTCGTAAACGATGATGATAATGTTGTGGTTGCTGTTGACACCCACACCAAAAAGAAACAAAATTATATAAAGTTTTATTCTTTTCTTTTGTAATATAAATTAAAGATTTTAAATATATATTATCAATTTAATCTGTGCTTATTCAAAAATCTACTAATGAAATAATAATGACAATACAAAAAATTAAGGAATCCATATTTTTATTTAAATATTAATCAGTTGGCACTTCATAATAATCATATGTTATTGAATGCGGCATATAATAAAGATAAGTGAATGCATTTGAACAGTTTATTCGGTTACAAGTTTATGACTTCAAAAAAAATTTTACAATTCAAAAATTTGTATTTTTTACTCAGTTTGAAGTTTCGAAGTTATAAAAATTTATTTTAGATTAAAAAAAATATAATTCTGTCATCGAACTTAATTAATAAGGAAGTATAAATCTTTTACTGTACACTTCGTCTTATGCTAAAGAATTGGATAATGCTACGCTATTATGAATTAAACCAAAATAGTTCTGCTCAACCATTTTTAAATTTGTCTCAATTAAATAAAGAATTTATTTCTTATTTTATATAATAAATTAAACATATTGTGACTCATATATCTACAAATATATTTACTGTATTTTGAAATATTATGTACATGATAGAATTGTCTATATTGAAATACTGATAACAAAACCATTTATGCCAATGCAAATGAATTGGAACTCAAAAGTTAACTCATTGAATATAAAGTATCATGGTTAACAACTCATTTCTCCTTTGTTTATCATTAATTCTATTGTAGTAATTAATTAAAGGGTTTGAAAAAATTTTAATGATAGTATTATTAAAAGACATCCAATATGATTTTTGATTATAAGATTTTCACTTCACTTCGAGAAACAGCATTGATTTCTATTTTGCAAAGAGATTGGCTTGAACGCCGAAGAAATAAAAATTGGGATTATGTTATTAAATGGGATGGGGAATTGTGCAAAATCCTACATTATCTCTGAATCGAATCAAAAGAATGGTCCAAAGAACAGTTCGCTTCTTTTTTTTAACTCTGCAGCAATGTTTACCATTTATTCGTTAATTTCATATTCTCAGTGAAGATACTTGGAAGAAATGAGACCCTATAAGAAAGTCCTTGAAAAGCAGCTTTAGGATGACATAATCCTACATTCTGTCACCAAATAAAACCTGTTGATTCCCTTATTTTACCAGCAAGAATCATTTCATTCTTGAAATACTTTCAAGAGCCATTTCATCCCTAAATTGTCATTCTTGAATATAATCAATAAAGAGCTGTCGAAAGACGTGCAAAAAAGTAAAACTGCAAATCCTTGTTTAGAAATATAATTAAAAAGATCTTTTATTTTATTAAAATATATATAACTATATATTATTTACGTTTAAATCATAAAATTTTATTTATCTCTATTATTGTATTTATACTTTCTCTTTTGTTTACACTTCATCATCTGTGTGTCATCCTTCATCTTCATACGGCATCCTCATCTTTCATCCTCGTACAGCATCTTATGGATGGTTACACAAAGATGACAATCACCTGAAAGTTCATCTAGTGTCACAAAATATCATCCCCCATGACATTTCATCTGATTACCAATTTGCTTTGCCACAATACATTGAAAATCTATAATTAAAAAAAATCATCGGGAAATTTTTTTTATAAACCCTTCAAGAGTAACAAGAATCAATGATGCATTTTGAAATTTGTCATAATTTATATTTTTAATTTAATTGAATTTTTTTTTTCATGTTATTTTGTGATATTTAATTTATATTTATAAGGAAATGTATACCAAGTTAATTAAATTTTTGCATTGATTTATTTACATATAAAATATTCCACCCTTTCATTTTTCTTTTATTTTTAGAACATTTACTTCATCTATTATTCAAATATGGAATTAGATTAATAATTAAGATTGTTCATAGCTACTATTGACTTTTTAATTTACAAGAAATGTAAGATTTCATTTTTTTAATGAAAATGATTAAATAAGAAAAGAAAAAAAATATTATGTCAAAAAAAATATGTAAAATAATAGTAAAATAATAAATCTAGCAATAAATTAAAAAATAAAATTCAATAATAAAATAAAATAAAAAAATTCTCATTGAGTATTCTCTAACACATTTTTTATATTTATGAATTTCATGCTAACGAAATGTTACGTGTTGTTAAAAAAGAATATTACCAAATAATAATAATAATTTTTTCATTACAATGAGAATTCATATTTTAATTCAATTCATTAATTTGATTTTATTTATTAATTATGATTTATTATTTTTGTTACTAATTTACAGTTGAATTTTTGGATTATTTCATCCTACTGCAAGTTTAATAAGTACATTATTTACAAACACTTTGACATTGCATCTTTTAATAGAATTATTTCAGATTTGAAACATGGATGATTGGAAAACCTTGTTAAAGAGGTTTGAAAATTCATAATTAGTTCTAGGGTTAGCGTATACAATTTAACAGATGGATTTGATGAATTAGAAAAATCATGTGTCTAAAATAATTTAATATATAGGATCAGCTGACCTATATAGCCTGCCTGATCTAATTTGATGTAATAAACATACCTCCTTCTCTTAAAAAAAATTTCTTTCGACTTGCTTCTCACCTAAAACTCTATATAACTTTGGTTTCCAAAATATTAAAAGTAAGTTTATTATTGTTTTTACATCATCTTTATTATTTAAATAAATTAAATGATATTAGTTAATATAAAAATAGTCACTTTTCAATTATGGATTATATGTTTGCTGTTTTTTATGCAAGGGAACCTCTCAATTTCAAAGATTTGAACTGTCACTTTTGTTCTTTTATTGATTTTTTACTTATTAGCTTGTTTGTTAATTTGCTTCACATATTACTTTACGCATTTAACTTTTATATTTTCTAGCAAACTTTTATTATTTTTTTGAGCGATATCTTGATCATGTGATTTTGAGAAGCAGAAGCTTTGGTTAGGTATTCCAATTTTTTTTTTTTGAAGTAATATTACTTTAACAAGAAAATATTATCCATTTTAATATGAATTACTTCTTGTGCCCCCATTATTGAACAGAAAGATTCATGAAGAATTTGAGAAAGAGGATCTAACTTTAATTCTTCTTAGAATTCTTGATAGCAAGAATATTATCAATCTATTTACCTGGGAAAAGGTACTAAATTTATTCTTTGTTTCTTTTATATTGAATAAAGATATTTCATATTAAATTTGAGTTATTAATAAAATTTTTATAATAAAGATTATGACTATTGAATTACTAGTTACCAAACTCCCGATGAAGAATGATATATAGAGATCATTTATCAAGGAAATGCCACTTCTAGATGTTGTTCTCGATTACTGTAACATCAGCGATTTGAAGATCATACTATGGATGTTTCTGATTATTTTGCTAGAACTTATCAACATTGGGAGTTTGTGAAGCAATTGAGGTATGATAAAAAAAATTCATTAAATTTATGAATTCGTGAATAATATCACTTTATTTTTATTTGATATTGGAATGAATATAATTCTTATTTATAAATAGGGGAAATAACATAATTGCAAATTTAGGGTAGCTGACATGATTAGATTTACTTGTTATTTGCAAGCCAGAGATTATATAGATATTATTAATTATTTTAGCAATAAATACATCCAATATTCTGGGTAGGTAATTTCCAATTATATGGCAATGGTAATTACACTTTTATTATTATTTATTGAAAATTTTCCCTCTTATATATATGTATGTATATTATATCTTTAAGATTCCAGTGTGCATCCTTCCGCATCCTAACTTCAATATTTTTTCATTCCACATGAAGGATCATATCATTTTTTTCGATTTCATTTATTACATGGATAAATAAGAATGCCTATGCATTCTAATTCTTGAGGAGATGTGAGAATTCTCTAAAGTAAGCATGGCTTCGTACTGATAATGCAGATCAACAACTTGTATTTTATTAATGATTCGATTATATCACTATTTTATTAATAATTTATAGCAAATTTATCATTTATTGTATTAATGATTTCTGATTATTATAATTCTTTTTAATACCAATCATTTTTTTACTAATGATTTCACAACTAACATTTCTACCTTTTTTTTTAATTAATGATTCTATTTATATTCTATTTATACTAACAAATGATCTTTATTATTGTCCTAATTCTAGTTTCAACTATACAAACTTTTGGACTAGCATTTTTATTTGTTTTTAATACTTCTATTTCTTTATTTCTATTCAATTAAATTAATATTTTAGTAATTATTTGCTAACAACTCTCTTTTTATATAATCTACTACTTTATTTCTGATGAAATTTGTTTCTTTTATTTCTATGATAAAAATTTCAACATTTTTTTACTACTAACATTTATTTCTACTAACATTTATTTCATTTAACATTTTATTTCTATTGCTAATGATTTCTATTTTTCACTTTCCAGAAAATTATTTGGTTTCTACCAGCAATTTGGTTTATGATTTCCATTTTATAGGTAAGTCTATTCATAAGGCAATTAGAAGATTGAGAATTATTGATCTATAAATTAATGCAATAAAAAATTATTTTTTACCAGAAATATTTTTGGACAAATTTGATAAATCAGAAAACCAGAAATAGAAGAGCTAATTTATAAGATTTGGATAATTGATTGAAGAATTGAAATCAATGCTCAATGGAATCAGATAACACTTTTATTTTATTAATTGCTTTTTTTCCATTTTATGTTCTTATTTTTTTCTTTGAAAAACAAATAGTTAATACCATAAGATTATTCTAACTGACAAAGATCAAAACAGTTGCAGACAGAAAACAATTGACTGTAATTAAACTATATTTTTGTCTCTATATCAACCAAACATGTATAGTTCTAGTATCCATAATCACATTCCAAAAAAAAAATTGTTGCACCTGCTTCCACTTCTAAGGAACTAGAAGAGTTTATTTCGTACGCCTTTCTTCTTTATGGATGATGACAACCAGCTTTAGTTCTCTAGTCAGTAAGCTGACCATTTTTTTACTGTGGTAAGTATTCATGGATGATATTATGAAATTACATGTATATTGATAAGAAACAGAAAATCTCACTATCTACTTTTTTATTTGAGAACAGTATTTACTTTAACAACATTATCAAATGAAACTTATTCATGTCGATGAAATGCTTTCAAAAATTCCTAGCCGATGATACTGGTATCAATTTGGATTAAAAATACCTATCTCATTTCTTTGACCGTCGCGAACTGTCATTATAATGATCTTAAATACGCACAAAAGTCTGGTCAAAAATCATTGAAATTCCATTGAAGCTATATGGAATTGACCTTCAAATGTTTAAACTTCCAAATTTATCTCAATGGAAGCGGGATTAGATTGGTTTTCTTGCCAATTATGTCAAAGCTTACAATTAGATTTCCACTGATCCATCAAAATACTTAGATTCCATTATGGCTGATATTCAGCACCAATTGGAGACGGTCATAATGAAGAACGAAAATACTGAAGAATATCTGAAATTTCCGCCGTATCCACCTGAATTGGGGCATACACCAAAGGGGGAGACACAAAACTATCCACCTAAATTTGGGATATAGCGCAAGAACCAAATACTCTCAAGGATTGTTCACGCCTTTAGCAAAAATCTCTAAATATCCATCTGGCTTAGGATTCACTCAACAAGCAAGAAGACCCAAATACCCTTCTGGCTCGGAATATATTCCGAAAACACGATAGTCCCGTCCCGTTATTCCGGTACTGGAATTGTTGTGGTTTCGTAAATCTGGAGAAATTTTATGTTTATTTTGTTCATAATCACTATTATTTGCGTAATAAGAATGGATAGGTCATAATTGTTAGATGATAAATCGAGATTTTATAGTAGTAAACATTTTTCGATGATATATTTATTATATATTAGAAAAAAAAGGAATCCAAAAAAATCTTCCATCAAAATCTAGCCGCTATTTTCAGACTTTGCGCCCATTAAAGGTTTGCTTTCGTTCCTAAAATCCTCATAAAGTATTATTCCTTACGATTTTCCGATAGTACCAATACTATGATTTTATTAACCTTCTGTATTATTAATTTCATATTTTTAGGGTACAAAAGAAATTCTGTTTAATAGATATTGGTAAGTTACAATTATTCTTGTTCTATCTTTCTTTTTTATTTTGTTAAAAAAATATAAATCTATTACAGTTCTTATTTAGAGGATTTCTAAATATTTTTAAATTTTTCATATCATTTAAAAATCTTAATATTAAGTAATAATTCTAAAATCAATAATAGGAATTCTTTAAACTAATCTGTCCATAATTTTACGATCCCATAAACATTAGATTTATTTAATGCATACAGGTTGTTACTTTTAATCCAGATAATCTAGGATCACAAAAAGGAAGTAACTAACCTGAATCGGGTATTTACTTTTTGTGCTATTTTTTTATTCATATTTTTATTTATATTTATTTATTAAAGGTACAATAATTCCAGTAAAAAATTACCCACTAGATTTCACTATTCAAAAACTTAAAGAATTTATTGAAGATAACCACAAATACCAGTTGATTTTAAGAGATTGATTTATAAAGGTTTGTTAAATTAATTAATTAAAAAATGCATGAATTATAATTATACTAAAGTTGTCAGCGAGCATTTTGTTCATAGTATCAAAAACAAATAATTCATCAAAAATGATCCTATCGTCCTGCTGGCCCATTCATGAAATATTCTTATTCTAAAGATCAATATTATTAAAATGCAGTTATCTTTTGTCATCCCAGAGTCCAATATCTAAAATTCCAGAAAAAAAGGTAAGTAATAAATTATTTATCTGCAGTAAACTGCTTATTCACTGTTTGTATATATCCAATTTGATTATGACATAAAAATTTTCATATTTTTTTCCAGAAACGTCGCATATGTACTCTCACCTATCCAGAATATGAGGAAGTAAAGTTCTTTTCTTGGAAAATCTAAAAAAAATAATAATAAAGTATTTGAAAATCTCGAAATATTAGGAAAATTTACAAATAATGTAACCAGGGATATTCATTTCCGAAAATATTTAGAGGTAAATCACATCGTTATAAAATTTCTGCAAACTGGAGATCAGCATAACTTAAATCTTTTTTCTAGTTTATATAATCTGGAAAAGTATCTCAATATTACATATGATCTGCGATAAGAATCAGCTTGAAAAGGAAATAAAGAAGGACAGCCTATTTATCTCTACTAGTGAATAAATCAAGGGACTTATGTCTTAGGAAGTAAACCTTTGCAACTATAAAAAGTCACCGATCACCCAAAAACAGAGACGAAAAATTTTTTCACTGCACTTATCTAGTATTTTTAGCGGATTACAAAGAAAAAAATCATGCCGATAAGTTCAAGGTCATGTATATCATATACTCAAATAATTTATTTATTTTATCTATCGGATTTCTAGTTGTATATAATTTTATGCTATTGGATGAGCATAATTGATTGATTTTCTCTTATACCATGATTAATAGAATGACGAATGAAATATCGGTATATCGTGATCTTATGCATTATAGAAACAATGTATAATATGTATAATATTCTATTTTTATTTTTATACATTTATTATTATTACTCTCAATGTACAGATTTATTAATATTTTAATAAAATATTTTTAAATTTTTATTTATTCTTATAGTTATATTTGTTTAATATAGACGAAAAATTAAATAGATTTAATAAATTGCTCCCAAAAATAATAATGACGACATTGAAGTAGAAATAAGTTAGTTGAGAGGTAATTCGAATTAGTTGTACTGTTAATGAATGTACTGTTTTATTTTAATTTAGGAATTTGGGAATTATTAATTTATTTTATATATTTTTTCGAATACACTTTAAATATGTATTTGATATGCTCGTAAGTCGAGAATATATAATATTGTAATATGTAATCATTATCTAATGATCATTAACGGAATTCCTCTAAAGTTACGTTTTTGATATTTTTCCTATTGTTGCATCAAAAATGTAACTTTGTATCATTGATACGTTCCTGACAGTAAAAATTTTGATTTAGTAATAATGATTTTAATTTTTTTCGTTTATAGCATGTGATTTAAGCCGATCATCATCGTTTATAGCTTGTGATTTATGCCGAACATCATCTTGACTGTGTGCCGATCTTAAAAATAAATAATCCGTTAACTCTCTCTTCTCCTTTTTTCTAAGAATATTAAAAAGTAAGTAAATTTTTGACTATATTCATCATTTTTGGTATTCAACTAGTATTAAAAGTACAAAGGAGATACTTTAAGGATCAAAAACAGAGTTTCATGTTGTTTTTATTTGACTGAATCTCTAGATTTCAAAAATTTCGAAGGGTGGTTTTGTCTTTCTTCTTGCATTTCTTCTTGCTTGCTTCACTATTTATTTGTTCCTCAATTGTTGTTTTCACCATTTTGTAGAATATTTCTTAACATTTTTAACTTCAACTATTGAATTATATAAATTCGCTTATTTTTTCACGTGACCGAGAGAAAACGCTTGTTGTTATATTATTATTATTATTAATTTATTCTTATAACATTTCTTTAAAATTTCATTATATTAATAATTCTATTTCTATTGACTTTTATCTATTTTTCAATGATTTATTTTACTCTTATTAATGATTTTTGTTACCATATTTTCTTTGTATTATGAATTTTTTTTTTCAACAAGATGAATAATTTCAAGCATCTCAGCAGTAATGGAGAAGGTACATCCACAAATTTAGGAAAAAGAAAGGCAGCCGAAGTTGAGGATGGTTCATCTACTGGAGGAAAAATGAAAGAGACAAGAAAAGAAAAATTTAAACAAGTTTGCAATAAAGTCAGTATTAATTCAGATAGTTTAATTTAAATTGTTTTCTATATATTATATATAATATATACATATTTTTTTCAATTCAACACAGAAAACTAAAGAAAGAATTAAACGAGCCATAACTGAGCACATGTATTTGGTTGGCCATAAAGAAATCAACTTGACACAACGTGAATACACAATTTTAGGTCCAACTGGATGTGTATGTAGAATTAATTAATCATGCATAACAGTTTTTATTGTTAACATTAATTTACATCATATCTTCCTTACTTAGGTGTACACTACTGTGATTGCAAACATTCTTTCATGTTCCTGCCCTGATTTCCAAAAAGGTAAATTTAATTCTTCTAATAATATGTGACAAATATTTGATTTTAAATTTATTTTGTATATTAACCAAAACCTTTATTTACATTTATTAGGATTTCAATGCAAACACCTTGTAAGTAAAATTTAAATTTTGAATAATTAAATTTTTCATATTTTGATATAATACTTATTTATTCCTATATTAGCTCTTCATATTCTTAAAGGTTTTGAAAGTAAATCAGGACAGTAAACTCATTTACCAGAAAGCATTACTAACAGATGAATTAAGATCAATTTTTGATAAGGCACCTCGAATTTATCTGGTATGAAAATTTTATTAAATATGTGTAGATTGTATTTATTTTTCAAAAAAATTTTAATTAATTTGATTTTTCCTAATGAGCAGCCAAGTAAAAAATTCATCAATCAACTTGAAGAAACTATTACTTCAATAAAACGACATAGAAAAATAGGTGATGACTGTCCAATCTGGTATGATTTATGTTTAAATATTGTAGAATATTGAATCAAAATAATCTATCAAATCTATTCAATCTAATCTATTATATTATAATAATTAGTTATGATCCTATGAATGACAGAGAAGATTTAGTTTGGTGCCAAAGTGGCTGTGGAAATAATATACATCGAAATTGCTTCAATCAATGGAGACAAATAAATCCAACAGTAAAATAATAATTTTAAATTTATATTTTCCGATTTTTTTATTTATTTATTTATTTATTGACACTTTTTTATTTACTTAATTTTCACAAAAGGTCACTTGCGTATACTGTCGAACTGAATGGAGAAGCATTACTCTACCTATCCACCCTCCTTTACGTATGTCATATTTATCTTTTTATAAAAATATAATGCTGCACTAATTTATGTTATTGAATTTTTTTTAACAATTTTTATTCTTTATTTAGATATAAATACAACAAAATTTAGAACTCATCGCAATAAGAGGGTGGTGTAAATATTTTTAATTTTTTTAAATTTATAAATATATGAATAATCATATTACATTTTTTTTAAATAAAATCTTATTATATAATATAAAAAATAATGTTTATTATTCAAAGTGTTTGTTTAAATTACAAAGAAATTAGAAACTATTGCAAATAAAAATTTATTTTTAGGTAAGACAATTTAGTATTTTGTTTAGTGTCAACAAATACTTTATTTTATAAAATTAACTATAAGCCCATTGATGTTTTGACTTAATTTTATCTACTGTTCGACAAGGGAGTTTCTTTTTTATTTGTTATAATCAAACAAGACTTTAATTAATTTAGTATTTATATGTTATGAAATATATTAATACATGATTTTTTTTCTTTTTATTTATATTAATCTCATATTTAAATTCAGTATGTATAAACTTTCTATACTTTACATATATGAGATATATAATGCTCGTCCATACCTTTTGTATTTAAAACACAGATTATGAGAATTTACTTTTTCGTATCAATGTTTTGTGTAGTCAATTCATTTCTAGTTTATCCTGTTGTATATCAATTTTTGATAAATTCTCTTTGATACACAATGGACAACTTCCATCTGAACAAAATAATTTTTGCAAGCAGAAGAATTACTTTATTTTATCTGTTTTAAGTTTTTTTAATTCAAATTTTAAATAAAGATTAGTCATTTGTCAATTTACTTTTCTATTTGATTTGCTAAATTACTAATAAAGACATTTAAGTAAAACTTGTTCTAATTATAATAATTGTAATAAATAAATATTTGTTATTAGAGAACAATAATTTAATGAGTGACAATTAATCAATTTCTTCTGCATTATAATTAATTGTATTTCTTCATGATCATACAATTGTTAAAATTCAAAAATGGATCCAACATAGAGCTATATATTAATATAGTATATTCTTCGTTAAAAAATATAAACAATATAATAAATGACCAAACTATTTTACAATATAGTTTTTTTTAATAAAATTAAGGTCGAAAATTCAAATATTTAGAGAACTGTTGAATTTTATGAAAAACAAAAATGACAATGAAATTAATTTTAAAACTTAATTTTGAATTTAAATTATTTCAAATTATTAATTTGGATTTTATAAAAAATATAAAACCATTTATAATTTTTAGCGAATAATTACATATTTTTTAATTTTTATTTATTACATATTAATTAATTAAAGAATTAATTAAAAATTCACTTTTTAATAAAGTTCAACAATATAAAAGTAAATAAACTAAGGAAATTAGATTCAATATCTTATTTATAAAGCTTGAATTTTCAAAATTCATGCTTTTTTTCGTTATAATGAGAATTCACTTAATTTATTATTTGATTTTATTTAATAATTATGATTTATTATTTTTTCTTTAATTTACATTGAAAATTTTTGGATTACTTTATCCTACTGCAAGCTTAATAATTTTATTATTTTCAAACTTTTAAAGTTTTATTCATTCTTTGAAAGATATTTATTAATTTGGTTATTTATTCATTTTGCATTTTACATAATTACATATTTAATAACACTTTGATATTGCATCTTTTAAAGGCCTTATTTTTAGTATTTGAAGCCATAGATGATCATTGAGAGTATTGAAAATTCATAATTGGTCTAGTTTAATAATTAAGATGGATTTGATGTTATAAATTTAAAAATATCAATATACATACAATAAAGCCAAAAATTGTAAAAGCGAACTTTAAAACTAATTTAAAAAGTGTAATTATATTTGAATGGCATAATCTTATGTATACTGTTAACAAATTTTAATGAATTGAAAAAACTTTGGAATTAATAAATGATATTAACATAGAAAATGCAAAACAAATAAAAAAAAAGAAATCATAAAATATATATATAATATATTGAATTTACATAAAGATCTTTTTAATGATTAGAATTTATACTGATGCTAAACACGACAATAATTCATTTATAAATAATAATTATAATCATATACTAATAATAATGAGAATATTAATTAATTAATTATACTTATACAGTTGCATCGGAGTCAGCAGATTATCAAGGCTTGATTCAAATTAATAGGTAGATTCTTTTGTACTGCTGTTGTTTACAGGTGAATCTTCCTCAACTAAAATGGTTATTGGATGATCTATGACATTATAATAGAATAGTTGTAATAATTATTATACCAAGCTGTACTGTACGACATATATGATGCAGGTAAGTATCATGATCAGCTTTTTCACAGGAATATCAAAGTGAATAATTAAATTAGCTTGTGTAAAATCAATTGTTGAAAGACCACCATGTAAATTGATAACTTTATAACAATGTTCAATCATAAGCTTAGCAATTCACGTCTTTAATAAAATAAATGAATAAATAAATAAGCAAATAATAAATAAAGCAACATAAAATAATAAAATAAAATAGAATGAACAAATAAAAAATAAATTAAATTTGCACCTCAGCAAAAATGATACTTTAATGAATTGTCAAAATTGAATATAATTCACTCAATACTTTTAATGGTGTTCTTAATCATTCAATCCGTATAGAATTGTTTAACAGACATTTCTTTGCTTTTCAATATAAACTAATTGGCATGAAGATCAAATCTTCTAGCAAATTCATGTACTGAAACTTCGTATATAGCTGAAAAGACAATCTCTAGATATTAAATTTAAAATATAATTATTTAAAATTACTATTAATATGATAATATATAATAATATGATATTATAATAATGATGTAATCAATATATATTATGATAATAATAATATTGACATAAGATACATATATACTTTTTTACTTTTATACTTTGATCACTTAATCTATCTTGATTCAACATATTATCAGCTTCATCCATGAAAAAGATTTTAATATTTTCTTTTCAATCAAGAACTGTTCCTGGTGTACTAATAATGAGTTGAGATTTATTAAAAGTAGTATTTCTATCTCTATCATTATTACTACTACATTTCAGTTTGATGCTTTCAAATCTATCCAAGCTTTTATAATAAAATTAATAAAATGATCAAAATTCTTTATGTTTAATAACAAGTAGTTTGAAAAATTTTTAAATATAAGAACTTCATTTTATTTCTGTCTGTAAATTATTGTTTTATATAAACCGTTATTTACGGAATTATTATAATAATTATTTAATCTAATATTTATTCATGAAGTTTCATTAAATCTAAATTTCCAAATTAATTTCTTCTTTATTACAATGAATCAAAAAAACCTTGTAATTTCATTTTCAGAATATCAATAATGACAGAAAGCATGAAAATTGTTACACAAACTTGTATAAACTGGAGGATGGATTTGATCCTAATGTCAGAAAGATTGTCATACAATCTTTATTATTTAATTCTGAATTGTGCACTTTAACATTTTTAATTGGTTATATTGGTTGTATCACGTTATTGTGAGAGAAGCATGACAGATTTTGTGAGACATTCTATTTCAAGTAATCTTCTCTAATGTAGTAATAACATGAGCCATTTTTAAATTGTACTTTGTTAAATTGTTAAATATAAAAAATAATAATGGATATAGCTTCCTTTTTGAGTGAATGACAAATGATTCGAGCAAGGTCTTATTAACTGGATGACGGGGTGGTTAAAAGTGGTCTTTAGTATAATAGAATTTCTTCAGATCAAAGGATTTACAAAAGGTAGAAATTAATGTAACAAAGCGAAATGCAGCGAATTTAACCTTTTTAAGTTGAAGGGGTAAATCAAAATTTCTTAGATTATATCGTGATAAATCAAACTTGCTTAGATTATATTGTGATAAATCAAACTTGCTTAGATTACATTGTGATAAATCAAACTTGCTTAGATTACATTGTGATGAGGAATTTAAAATTTTTTTTAGGTTTGAAAAGGTGAGCCTCATCAAAATCAAACTTGCATAATTTACAAAAGGTGAAAACTAATGTAAATGCAGAGAATCTAACTTTTTTAGTTTGAAGAGGTAGTCATGATCTAAATCAAACTTGCTTCGATTACATCGTGACAAGAAATTTAAATATCTTTTTAGTTTGAAGGGGTTTATAATCAAAAATCAAATTTGCTTTAATTACATCGTGATAGGAGATTTAAGTATCTTTTTGTTTGAAGAAGTAATCTTGATCAAATTGTTAAGAAAAATGTCATTAGATTATTATTATTATGATTATTAAAAAAAAATAATAAATTAACATTATGTTATGAATGGATAAAAAGTTTGTGTTCAGTTTTTATAATAAAAAGTCTTGTTTGTGTTTAGTTTATTATGAAGACTCTTGTCAATCTTGACCAAAGAATTACAAATAAGAAAATTATTTGCATAAAAAACTATCAACCGTTCTTATATATATGTATATTATGTTATCTTTTTTTAGTTTTTATTTTTATAATC